GCTTAGGTTGCGGGCTCGATCCCCAGTGGGGGGCGTGCAGGAGGCAGCCGATCAATGATTCTCTCTCATCATTGATGTTTCTATCTATCTATCCCTCTCCCTTCCTCTCTAAAATCAATAAACATACATTTTCTTAAAAAAAGAAAAAAAGAATGGGGTCCATATTTAAAAAAAAAAAGTATGATTCAGATATTAAAGGACAACTAGGAGGCTAAAAAACCCACGCTTACCTTCCTTTTGTTGTGATATGTAATATAAACAACAGCAATGCAAAAAGCAAAAATAATAAGATGAAAAAAGAAATGGCTATCTTCCTCTTCTATATTTGAGGATGGGGTCTTAAAAGATCTCACTGACTGTTCAATTTCCATGTAGCCCCTGTTTTCTTCCAACGTCTCGCTGGACTCATCATCCCTGGGGTTGGTGGTCCAGTCATAGTCTGGTTCTCCGTACTCTCCATTGTCCAGAGTATCTTTGGCGGTGGATGGAGAACTATTCAGTGTGAGAAGATCCTCCTCTTCTATGCTAGGATCTTCATTGTTATCAGCTTCCTCTTGGGACAGAGTAGCAGTAGGTGAAGGATGAGGGGGGACAGACGCCCTTCCACTTTTCTCTGTACTAGTTGTGGGAGGGAGAGTGGTGCTGATTTGGGAAATAGAAGGTTCGGTTTGTTCAGGTTTTAAAACAGCACTCATATTTGGAGTAGAAACATCCAGGAGCGCAGTCTGGTTCAGTGAATCAGCCAGTGGTAGAGCTAAAGTAAGTGAATAAAGAACATTAAATGAAAGCTCTAACTTTATATCCATTAAGCTAGAAGCATATTAACCTAAATTTTTCACTAAGCATTTCTCTTTGCTAAATTCCTATTATCTTGCTCTTGAGAATTAGTAAGTCTCAATAGGCAGCAATCACTTAAGTTTTCTTCTTAGGTCAATTATGCATCAGATAACAACTGTCTTCCCAGACAGCAACAACTTAAGCAACAAAGAAGACCTAGCCTGCCAACAGAAGGGAAAAAGAAAGAATAAAGAGGAGTCTGACTTTAGGTCACAAGGGCAAGTCCACACACAGCTCTCACCCATCTCCTCTGTTTTCACTTCCCAAAGGGGTTGGACTTCAATAATCTTTGCCCAGCCAGACTCCATCCCATGCCCATAACAGAAAAAAACAGACGCTGATCCTCGTTCAAGGTCACAAACTACATAAGAAATTTGAACTTAAGTACTTTCCTCTAATATATGTGTGTGTGTGTGTGTGTGTGTGTGTGTGTGTATGTTTTATTGATTTTAGAGAGAGAAGAAGGGAGAGGGAGAGAGAAACATGTGAAACAGAAACATCAATTGGTTGCCTCCACACACACCCCGACCACGGACCGAACCTGCAACCTGTGCATGTGCCCTGACCAGAAATCCAACTAGCAACCTTTCAGCATACAGGACATTGCTCAACCAACTGAACCACACTGGCCAAGGCTGAACTTAAGTACTTCCAATGCAGTACAACAAATTCAAGAGAAGCTAATGTAGACAGCATTTCTAAGTGCTACTAGAACTGGCAGATACCCTCCTCCCAAATTTAAAAAAAAAAAAGTATTCTTAGGAAGAGGAAAGGGAAAACTCCTAAAGGAAAAGAATTGGAAACTGGAGCTTAAAAACAAAGTGTGAACTAGACTATTTTAAAGATTAAAGAAGGCAATCTGGATACAGGAATGACACTAAATACATACAAGCTCTTAACTCAGCATGATTTACTAAAGTAAAAGTTAAATTATTCACATCAGTAAGTCTACATACCAAAAGTTCAGAGGCATACCTGCTGAAATTTAACAGTTTCTAACTTAAAACCTAATGTATCTGTTGAACAACTTCAAGAATATCCATTACACTTTTTTAAAAATGCTTTAAAATGTCATGTGAGATTTAAAAATACTCACATAATATTTTTAAGTCTATCACAGTAAAGAAAAATATTTTATAGGGCTAAGATTAAACCAAATTATCCTTGGGCTTTGCAAAAGCACGTGTGCCTGAACACAAATGAACAACCTAACAGCCAACTCTTCGTCTATGTGAATTCACTCTGGCTTGTGTATCATACATAGTTGACATACACTTTGTATAGAAAAAAAATGGACTGAATAGACTTTCAGGAAAAATAATTTAGTAAATTAGTAAAAAAATTAGTAAAACTCTCCTATAACTGCTGCAACAGTTGGTTTTTTTAATTTGTCACTAGAAGAAAAAAATAAACAGGACTACAAACGTGTAGTGGATATTCTTGAAGTTGTTCACAGATACTACATTAGACTGTAAATTAGTTATTCCGAAAACTATTAAGAGGAATTTCTTAAAAGAATTTTGACATTTATCACCTCAACTTGGTTATGATTCAAGCATTTAAAAATTGCTATTTCTCTGATATATTTAATTTTCCTGACAAAGTGTGGGAAAACATGTTTTAAAAGAAAATTGTAAAGCTGGAAGTCAACAAGCTAAACTTGACTTTTTAAATTTTTATTTTTCTATGCTTGACCTTTGGAATAGTCATGTATATGTAAAGGGACACAAGCTGACAGGGGTGGGAATTATTATAATTTGTCCCCATCTCCAAGCCCCTCCATGTCTGAAAATCCTCCACCATGCACTCTAGAGTCCAGTCACCAGCAAATCCTTTCTATCATCTTTCACTTTCTTGTTTAACTGAAACCTGACTCTCCCTTCAGGTCATACTTTCCCTGCAGCCTTTTTAATTAATAGCTCTTGTTTTCTCCCACATTCTTGTACTGGAAAAGGGGTAGAGCCCCTTCCAGACCATTCTCCCATTTCCTTCCCTAAATGCCCCCAATCTTGATTCTCCTTGTCATCAGCTATCACCCACTAACCTTTGTCCCCGAACTCCCCTTTAGGATCCCTAATTTTAATGATTTTAGCTTCTGGCTCGAGCAGTTCAGTTCCCAGTCAGGGCACATGTCCAGGTTATAGGTTCAGTCCCCAGTCAGGGTGTGTACGGGAGGCAACTGATTGATGTTTACCTCTCACATCAATATTTCTTTCTCTCTCTCCTGTCTCCCCCACCTCCACCCCTTGCTCTCTCTCTCTCTCTCTCTCTCTCTCTCTTCTTCTCTAAAATCAATAAAAACATTAAAACTATTAGCCCTTTAAAAAGAAACAAAACACAAGACAATACGAAATGCTGGCAAGGATGCAATTCACATATTGCTGGTGGTAATGTAAAATAGGGCAGCTATGCCAGAAAACAGTTTGGCAATTTCTTAAAAAATAAATGTGCAACTATCGTATAACCCAACAATTGCACTCCTGGGCATTTATCCCAGAGAAATCAAAGCCTATGTTCACACAAAAATCTGAATATTTATAACAGCTTTATTCATAATAGCCAAAAACTGGAAACAACACAGATGTCCCTCAACAGATGAACGGTTAAACAAAGTGTAGTACACATCCATACCATAGAATATTATTCAGCAATAAAAAGGAACAAACTATTGACATGAGAAACAACTTGGATGAATCTTCAAAGAATTATACTAGGTGAAAAAGCCAATCCCAAAAAATTATATACCATCTGATTCCATTTGTATCACAGTCTCAAAATGACAAAATTATAAAACTAAAAAACAGATTGCCAGGATTTCAGGAGGGAGTGTGGATAGAAGGGAAGTGGGAGGACAGTAAAGGGCAACACAAGAGGTCCTTATGGTGATGAAAACACTCTGTATCTTGACTGTATCAATGTCAGTATGCTGATTGTGATATTATTCTACAGTTTTGCAAGATATTGCCAATGGGGGAAACTGGGTAAATGGTTACAAAGGAAATCTGTATTATTTCTTGCAACTGCAAGTGAATCTACAATTATTTCAAAATTAAAAGTTTAATTTAAAAATGCATTTTTATTTCCTACTCCATAAAGAAAAAACAGAAACTTGTTCTACCTACAGTTTCCCTCTTGCTTAATGGCAACTCCATTTTCATAGTTACTCAAGCCAAAAACCTTGGAATCATCTTCTTAATACCTACATCCAAATTGTTACTCTACCTTCAAAATATATGCGGAATTTAAAGACTTTTCACCCCTCCACTGCTACTGCCTGGTCCAAGCCACCATCTGGATTACTGGAGTGGCCTTCTAAATGATCTGCCTGCTTCTACCCTAACCCCTACTGTCCACTCCCCACGAAAGCCAGAGTCACTGTGTACAAACTTAAGTAGGATGGTGTTACTCCTCTGCTTAAAGCCTTCTGGGAGCTCTCCTAGCACAGCATAGAGTATAGTCAATAATCCTATATAATAAAAGCCGAATATGCTAAGTGTCCAATCGTCCGTTCAACCAAACAAAACATAATATGCTAATGATATGCTAAAGCTGCTCAACCACTCGCTATGATGTGCACTGACCACCAGGGGTCAGACACTCCGACCAGTAGGTTAGATTGGCTGGGGTCCAGCCATCAGGACTGAAAGAGATGGGCTGGACACTCCCTGGAGCCCTCCCCAGCCCTGATTGTACACCAGTGGGGTCCCTCAGCCTGGTCTGCACCCTCTCACAATCTGGGACCCCTCGGGGGATGTCAGAGAGCCAATTTCAGCCCGATCCCACAGATCAGGCCAAGGGACCCTACTGGTGCATGAATTCATGCACCGGGCCTTCAGAAGTGTAATAACTATGTATGGTACCAGATGGGTCCTGGAAATATCAGGGGCATCACTTTGTAAAGTATATGATTGTCTAACCACTATGCTGTACACCTGTAACTAATGCAAAATAATACTGATTGTAAAATGTGTTTGGAAAAAAATGTTAAACCCTCTGGAAGCTCTCCATTTCTCTCAAAAATAAAATTCCAAGTCTTTATAATAGCCCACAAGATCCTATATGATCTGGTTCCATTATTTCAATCTCATTATCTACTATCTCCCTAACTACTCTGTCCCCACTCCTACTTAACAGATAGTAGGCACTGAATATTTAGTGACCACCTTCTTGACCCAACTCTCATCACACCACTCACCAAGGTGCATCTTTGTACTGATTGTACCCTCGGAAAAACCTTTCCCAGAGTTCTCAGCCAGGCAAAAACTCACTCATTCTTCTAAGGATATTTCCATTGTCTCTCTATTTGTTGTTGCGACACCAAGTAGGAGGATAATTAACAGGTATTGTTCAAAGACTAAAAACTTGTAATACACAAAACAACAAACTAAGAACTCATCTAAAACATTTTATGCAAATTAGATCAACCTCCTAGACTTCCACTCCTTCAAAATAGTTAATCCAATCAAATAAGAAAAGCATTCATAATAAAGTGATAATTCTGACTTTATGGGTTTAATTGTTGAGCTTCTACAAACATATATATTACTTTAGACTTCTAAATGTTCCACTTCTACCCTTTCCTATTTGATATTACCTCTCTAGTTAAAATTTAACATTTAACATTTAAAATTTAAAATTTAACATTTTAAAAATAAAGCTTCCTAAATTAAATTCTCTTCTACTAGTCCCTTTTAAAAACTGATTAAAATAAACTATGTCATCCTGCCGGTAATTCAGTTGGTTAGAGTGTTGTCCCAATATGTCAAGGATATGGGCCCAATCCCTGGTCAGGGCATATGCAACAAGCAACCAATGAATGAATAAATAAGTGGGATAATAAATCTCTCTCTCTCTCTTAAAATAAGTAAGACTACCACTAAAAATAATAACTTAAAAAAACAGAAAAATAAACTATATCAACATTTTTCAAATAAGAATGCAGAGGACCTTGAGAATTCATTCACACACTTTACCTTAAAAACTTAAAAATATTACACGTTAAAGTTAGGTGATCATTGGGGGCAATGAGGGCAAATGTAAAAAGCAGACACTTGAAATGGCTTGGCAAGACTTGGTCATAAAGTAATCATCCATCCAGTGATCCAAAACAATGCTTATATTAATATTTTAGACCTTATCAAAACAAAAAACATAAAACTTAAAAAATCTTACCAATTGCCAAGAATATATCCAAGCATTGAAATTTTAAGAAACTTAATATGGAATAAGTTCAAATAAATCTGATGTGGTAACTTTCTAACTTCCTATGCTTACTTGAAGTTTGAAACTCAATACATTCTATCTAGACTTTAATTCTCTTATTACAAGAGTAATACTTTGAACTACAACAAGACTGCGCACAAAGACCACTAGGGGGTGCACCAAGAAAGCATAAAAAATGCGGAGACAAAGAAACAGGACAAAACTGTCAATGGAGGATATTGAGTTCAGAACCACACTTTTAAGGTCTCTCAAGAACTGTCTACAAGCCGCCGATAAAGTTATTGAGATCCTCAACAAATCTAATGAGACCCTCGATGTTATGATAAAGAACCAACTAGAAATTAAACATACACGGACTGAAATAACGAATATTATACAGACTCCCAACAGCAGACCAGAGGAGCGCAAGAATCACGG